TGGAGTAGTCCTATATGGATCGTACCAAAAAAATTAGATGCATCAAATAAACGTAAATGGCGCGTTGTCATAGATTACCGGAAACTTAATGAAAAAACAATTGATGATAAATTTCCCTTGCCTAATATCTCAGATATTCTTGATAAACTCGGTAAAGCTCAGTATTTTTCAACTCTGGATCTAGCTAACGGTTTTCATCAGATAGAAATGCATCCCGATGACATCCCAAAGACAGCCTTTTCTACTGGTACTGGACTTTTCGAATTTAAACGCATGCCTTTCGGATTGAAAAACTCACCCTCGACGTTCCAACGTGTTATGAATAATGTGCTAAGAGGCTTCCAAAACGAAATCTGTTTAGTATATTTAGATGATATTATAATTTTTTCCACATCCCTACAGGAACACATTGATCGATTAAGAAAAATTTTTCAGAGACTAAGGGAGGCAAACTTTAAAATTCAATTAGATAAATCAGAATTTCTACATAAAGAAGTAGCGTATTTAGGTCATAAAATCACTAAAGAAGGCGTTAGTCCAAATCCTGACAAGATAAAAGTAGTAAAAAATTTTCCTCTCCCCCAAACACAAAAAGAAATTAAGTCATTTCTAGGATTGGCAGGATACTACAGAAGATTCATTAAAGATTTTGCTAAAATCACAAAACCAATGACCTTATGTCTAAAGAAAAAATCTAAAGTAGAACACAGCCCCGAATTTATTACAGCTTTCAACCATTTAAAACAATTACTAATAAATGCCCCAATATTAAAATATCCAGATTTTTCAAAACAATTCGTGTTAACTACAGACGCATCAAATTACGCGTTAGGTGCCGTATTATCACAAGGCACACCACCAAACGATAACCCAGTCGCATACGCGTCTCGCACACTTAATGACACCGAGCAAAACTACTCTACAACGGAAAAAGAATTACTTGCCATAGTATGGGCCTGTAAATATTTTAGACCGTATCTTTTCGGTAGAAAATTCCAAATTTTTACAGACCACAGACCATTAGTCTGGTTATTTAACCTAAAAGAACCAAATTCAAAACTTATGAGATGGAGACTTAAACTAGAAGAATTTGATTATGAAATTCTTTATAAAAATGGTAAACAAAACACAAATGCGGACGCCTTGTCACGAATAAAATTAAATGCTTTAGAAACCGACTCTATTTACAATAATCCTGGAGATATTGATCTTGATATTAACAAATTTCTAGACAACGATTTTGATCCGAATAAATTAGACTCAAATGAAATTTCGAAAACACTCGAAGAAATAGAAAATAAACGTCCTAAGAGCCCAAAAATAATCATTCTCGAAAACAAACTTTTAAGACCGGCTTTTGAAAATACAATTCATAGTACAAATACTGACGAATCTTTACAAGGAATACCTATATTAAATGAAATTATTAACAACAAACCAAATCAGATAATACTTCAGAAATCTCCGTATTCTACTTATGTTAAATGTAACTTTAAAAACTTCGACGGTCATAATATATTACATGCAACAATTCCAGAAGAAGAAATTAGTTTAACAAAATTCTTCAAAGAACATTTAAATAACAAAAAGACGTATATTCACTTTTTATCTCAACAACTAAGACCAATTGTACAAAAAGTAATCGCCCAATATTTTCAAAATTATAAACTAATCGAATGCACAAAATTAATAAATAATGTTGAACCGGAAGAACGAAATATATTAATTAAATATAAACATGAAGGTAAAACTAATCACAGAGGCATAGAAGAAACTTGTAAATTCTTAAAAAATAATTATTACTGGAAATCCTTAAAGTCAGATGTTACAAAATATATTAACGAATGTGAAATTTGCCAGCGAGCAAAATATCAACGAAAACCACCAGATCAACCTTTAATGTTAACTGAAACACCTTCTAAACCATTTGAAATCATACACGTCGATACCTTTATTGCCGGCGGACAAAAATTCTTAACTATAATCGACAAATTCTCTAAGTTTGGACAGGCATTGCCCTATTTTGGAACTGCGATTTCAGCATGTCAACAATTAGTACATTTCTTTTCATTCTATGGAATACCAAAACAAATTGTTTCTGACAACGGAACAGAATTTAAAAATGACGTCCTAGACTCTTTATTAAAAATACATAAAATTAAAATCCATTTCACAACGCCGAGTCACCACGAATCCAATTCACCTATCGAACGTTTTCACTCAACCCTCATCGAACACTTACGCCTATTGAAAGAAATAGATAAAAATTCCGATATTATTTCACTTATGCCCTATGCGATCATTGCATATAACAGTACTATACACTCAAATACTAATTTTACGCCTTTTGAATTAACACTAGGACACACTGATACACGTGACCCTATGAACCTAATTCCTTCTCAAATATATTGTGAATACGTAAATAACCATCAAACAAATACTAAGCTTCTTTACGAAAAGGTACATAATGATTCCCTTTTAAAAAAACAAAAAACGATCGATAAAATTAACAAAAACAAAACTCCAGTAGAACTAAAAATTGGCGCAACAGTGTATAAGCGCACCGAAAGTCGAAAAAGTAAATTAAACAAAAAATTTTCTGGACCATTCATATTAACAAAAATTTTAGATAACAATAAAATTGAAATAGAAAACCCAAAAACAAATAAAAAAATAATAACTCACAAGACTAATATAACAAACTGTAAACCAATTAAAATCCAACTTCAAGAAATAAAAATTTTTAAAATCCAAAATGGAAAATGGATTATTGTGACACCTAAGAAGATAATAGTAACAGTACAATGTAATGACGACATTAATACTGTTCCATTATTTGGATCCCACCTTATCGAATCCTCCCCAATTTGCAAAGTACAAATTGGAAAAACTGAACTAAGAACCTATACCCCTAATCGATTGAGATTTGATGACACTCGTCTACCGGAAGTGAATCTCTCACTACTACATAAACAGAAAATAATCTTCGATCCACCAGAACTCACATTGGACACGATTAACCTAAAGGAAATAAAGGAGCTGCAAATCCAAATGGATGAAGCAAAAGAAAACCTTGGAAAGATGTCATCACGTATATATTCTACGAGAACTAGTGTTTGGACAATTTTGTTATACGTAATACTTATATTAATCTTGATTTATTTATTATATAAATATTTTCCATTTAAATCTAAAATTAATAAACAAAAAGAAAATATTGTTATTTAAAAGCACTTGTTGTACCCGTGCTTTTATCTAAGGGCGGAGGAGTTATAAACGCTTTAATACTATAAACTGCTGAGTAAAGGTTCCCATACATATTATATTACTTGTTTCTCAAAGCGTCAGCAATTTGTCTGTATAAAACCACGGTGCGAACCACGTCGCTAGCTTTTTTGTCATCTCGCTTGAATAAAGTTTTTTAAAAAATCAAATTCGTTTTCCACGACGAAAACTACACTTAATGAAATCTTGTGATGATTAGTTAGAACTAAATGTTCGGACGATGTAAAAAATGATAAAAAAGACATTTTTATATCTATTTAAAAATGTTTTTTGCTTTGTCGATTGAATAATCAATTTTCGCACATTACGATAGCACAAAAGAAAAAACGTTTGGATTTGGCAAAATCTAAAATATCAAAAATCAATCAAAATATGGACAACGGAAACGTGAAGTAACGTTATTTTCAGTGACGAATCAAAATTTGATGTGTGTGTAGGCGATTTTCGAAACAGGGTGATTCGTACAAAATCGGAAACCTTTTCCAAAGATTGTCTAAAGCGCACGGTAAAATTTCCCCAGGGTGTTATGATATGGAGGTGTATGAGTGGTAAAGGGGTTGGCAACTACGAGTTCATTGATGGTACTGTAAATACAGAAAAATACCAACAAATTTTATGAAGAACTTTGATTCCATCAATAGAACGAACTTTTGGAAATGAACATGTTATATTTCAACAAGACGGTGCGTCCTGCCATATTGCGAAAACAACAAAAAAGTGGTTTGGGGACCATAATATGAAAGTTTTATCGTGGCCATCAAGTAGCCCCGACTTCAATATTATTGAAACTTATTGCATTGAATGAAACAGACTCATCGTAACAATCCTCAGCGTACAGTTCTGGCATTAAAGGCAAAAATCACCGAAATTTGAAACACTTTCACCGCCGAATATTGCAAGGCTTTGGTAGATTCCATGCCAAAACGCATAAAAGCTGTTATTGCCGCGAAAGGTGATGTTACTTCTTATTAATGATCGATTTAAAGTAAAAGATTTAAATGCGTCCAAATATTTATATGTCAGCAAATTCGGAATGTTTTTGATATTTTGTTATGTAATTTATGTAAAATAAAAAAAATTGCCATAGCACTTTTTGGTATAAAAATAAGTGCGTGATTTCATTTTTCAATCGAAAAGGCAAAAAAAATAAATTTAAGAGAAGTATAAATATGTTTTCTTATTATTTTGTATATAGTTCAAACAATTAGTTTGTTAGGGCTCGTATAACCGACAGAGGCAAAAATATCTGTGGCAGAAATAAAGGAGTGCCAAAGATTAATTGCCCTAGTTCAGGCGTCTCCACATTTTGAAGTCTTACGACCATATTGATTTTTTCAGTATCTTCCAAGAGCTAAAACAACTTTAATTTTTCTATTTTTCGCCCTATTTCTAGTCTCAAGTCTCAATGTATGCGACCTAAGAGAATTTTTTTTTTTTTGCTTTCCAGTTACTGTTGCGTATTGACACTTGATGACATTTTGTGACGATTAGTGGTACTAAATATTGCCTTCGACGAAAAATCTCGTAATCTATTATAACCGATGGAGGCAAAAATATCTGTGGCAGGAATAAAGGAGTGCGAAAGGTTAATTGTTAATAAACGAATAGTTGGATATCAATTCTTTCCTACCGTTGTCCTCAAACCTGTTGTCGAGTCTGATACCAAGGGTTGCAAATAAAAGGGGCTCGAATACTAATTCGTTTGTATCAAGGCCGGCAACGCCCGGGATGCAGAAGAACGCGTCCAACAGCATCCCGAGTACCAGTGTACCGTGTTACGTGCCCAAGACCACTTTTAATCCGGTGATCGTGGTTCCAAAGTTGCTTTCCACTCAGGCTGGTTCCAAGGGGAACGGTAACGACTGCAAGGGTATAGGGAACAGCGGAAAGCCCGAGGTAAAGCGACAGTGCGCCGGATAAGCCGAGCCCATTTCCATTCGCTTATAATGAAAATTGCAATATTTTAGATTTAGTTTAACATAATATAATTTACTGAATCAACCTCAGAGTTGATTGACAAATATTGCTAGCGTCTGTTTGATCAGCTCAAATTTGAAAAAAAAAAGAAAAATTGGTTCTATCTGACATTACTTTGCAAGGGTTTGAGGTAAAGGTTTAGAATGCACTTTAATATAATGTCGTTAATTCAAATCCCAAAAAATAATTTATTTCATCATTAGTATGAAATATGAAAATAACTAATCACAAGGTCATTGTAAATCATCTTGTAAATTCAAATCACAAAACCATACTAGATACCATTAGTTCGCACTGATGATAATAATAATAATATATAAAAAATAATATAAATAAAAGTGGTAAGACCATACCCTTTCTCAAATTGAGTATCTCGACCAACATGAGGTAGCTAAGCTAGTGCATTGAAAGCGAGGAATTAAGTACAACCTCCTGGAAGAGTTTCCACTCTACTATAAACTCTTATCTACTGTAGTTCTCGAATCAGAGGATACGTTAATACATTGGGGTCGCCCCCTAATTATTACTGACAGGACTGTAGATTACAACTGACTGGACTAGACTGGATTTTAATCGATACTGCATGCCTCTCAACCTGGAAGGAACAGAAGATGGGAAGACCAGAAAATATCAGCACTTGTGCATTAACATGATGTGATAATATTTTTTTTTGTAGATGAAAAATGCAAATTCCACATACACAGTGTCGGACAAAATTAGAGTGATTGCATAAAATCAACAACTTCCAAATATGTTTTGTGGGTCCTTATCAATTTTTTTTTTGCCTTAACATAAATTTGTAGTTTATTTTCAAGTCCAGTGCTGCCATCTTTGACTTGTAAAACAAATTAAAGTATACTTATCGACGTAAAAGCAAACTTTATGAATTAAAAATGGAAATTTGAATGTTTTCCAATATCCGACATAGGAATTTATGCATGAAAATAAAAACCAAAAAAAAAAAATTGAACATGTAGCGTATATAGGAATAAAAAAATGAAAAGTCGCTCTAATTGTCCGATACCGTATATAATACGCAAGCAGTGCAGACCCGTAACATTTAAGTTCTTTTATAGGTCCTGAACTCCCTTTTAAACTCGATCAGGCCGCTGCCGCCTCCCGCATCGGCCTCCCCCCGCCAGCACCATAACTCCTTCGTTCCACCTCACTCCGGGCCGCCCACCTCGGCCGCGCACTTTTTAAACTCGGTGGTGGCGGCCGCCATCCTCAAGTCTACGAACTCGACGTCCCCGTCGGTGGCGGCGCCACTTACGACCACGACTACCGCGCAGTCCGTCAAAAAGGTAAACACGCCCATCGGATACAAGACGTTGCGCGATCCGCCCAAGAGTTGGAACTCGCAGATAGCCAAGGCGAACATGAACGTGAAAGCGGCGGCGGCGGCCGCTGCGGCGGCGGCGGCGGCGACGTCGTGCCCTGCGGGAGGTCCGAGTACCGGCGGAAAATACGCTGGCGATTTGAAAAGTATCAGGCCGAAGTTTTTCAAGGGCCGTAATATGCCCAGGTACTTAGGTGAGTGTCTATATATTTTTTTTAATTACGCTTTTTTTGGCCAATGCTGCTAAGGCAATTCGGCAGCTTCTCGATAGTGCTGTGCAATAAACTGTTTCCATGAAGCATGCCTCCATAAAGAGGGTCTGGGTGATACCATCGTCCTACTATAGGGCTATACAGTTATTACTAACTTTGACGCTACTTACAAATAATAACACAGTGTATTTTGTGGGCAATCAAAGTACAAAGACAATAAATACAGTTTGTGTTCCACAAGAGTAACCTCGCAGGTGGAAAATAGATCATACATACTGAATACTTTTCCAGGATACTATTAGCTAAACTTCTTGGACAACTTAAAAAGCTATAACAAATTGTAAGTCTTGGTAGACCCAAAGAAAAAAAGAAAAAATACTGGAAAAAGAAAAGGAAAAACAATAATAATTCTGGACTTTATCCTTAGTAATTAAATAATAACTCTTGGAATAGAAATTTCAGTCTAATAAGCATACAGAGTAAATATAGAAAGACTCGAAAAGAATCATAAGCAAATATTGATGAAATTGATCAAATTGGTAAATTTGAAATTGTTAGTTGTTCTTCAAATCTATTATACTATGGATTTCATCTCTAGTAATTTCAGTTTTGTTAAATGTTTGAGATGAAGAAAACATCTCTGCCCTATAGTTTTAGATACCTTAGGTTTGACGGTGGCTTGGTTCATTCTGTTTCTGGTTGAGTAAGGAAGTTCGTAATTTCTAATAGGAATTTTATTTTAAAAGATTTGGACTGCTATTTTTTGAAAATAGAGACTTCAAAAACAATCTATTTACTTTACTATTTTTTTACAGTCTTCGCTGGCAATGTTTCTTATTTATGAAAATTTCCGATTCCGACGAAAACTTTATAACAGCGATTTTTTGAGCCAAATGTTCTCAATTTGTTTTCCATTTTTCTTCAAATGAATACAATTTATATGAAGAGCATAGTTGCTATGCATGTTTCATCTTCTCTTCATCCATAAAAGACTAAAAGGATAATTTGGTGGTTTAAAGATACCAAGTTCAAATTGAAGGAACATAAATGATGGCCTATTACCCTACATCATTGAAAATGGCTCAACACCTCTATTTGTTTTAAGACCAGGCATGTTTAAAATTATAACATTAAACAAATCACATGAACAATAAAAACGGTAAAATTTACTTATCCTTCTTTCCTATCTTTATTTTTATTTCAATTCAATTTGTTTGATTAATTTATTTAAAGATGAAACCTAGTAGACCTGAAAATAAGAAAAAGTACAATGCAAAAAATTGTTCTGATAGAAATTGCGGGAATAGTACGCAAAGTAATGAACATTTGAAAAAAAAACGAACTACCTTTCTGCAGACCAACTCAAAGTCCAACCAGCTTTTTGTCTTTATGCGAGAGCACCGGAAAAAAGTTAAAATCCATGAAATAACAATAATGATAATAATAGTCAACGCATATTGCATTTGACTCATTTGCCTTGATAATGTTTTCATTCGAACTAACCAAAACTAAATAATGGGATAAAAAAAAATCGTGGAAAACTAAAAGTGTATGTATAAAAAAATAAGAAAATTTTACATAATTATTTCTCAAAAAAATGCAGAAAAATTTTGACAGTCTTCTTCGATGCAAGACTATAAGTAATGCTTACTGTTTTGAGAAATACTACCATCCTCTTATTATTATTATTATTATTATATGTTATAATAAATAGTACAAACAAATAACAGTAGTTGTGGGTACCCTCTAATACGAAAATCTTGATATACGGGGGAAAGGGTTGGAGAAGTTGAAAGAAAAAATCGAAGTGAACTGAGATCCTACTGGATCTTTGCCCAACAATCTAATAAAGGTCAGAGTAGAGGCCAAGGAGGGATCAAACGCGTACAACTTACTGGTGTCCTCTGTCTATCTGCCCTGCCCTTATATATAGTGAAAGGCTAAAATGTTAAACAAATTTATATCCTAGTTCATATTTTTTAATATTTTTTCATTTGCTCAATGTGTCTTCTCCATCTTAAACTATATCTTTTTGTTGGGCCTACAATGTTAGGTTGGTCAAATAGCACTTGCAGTTTCTTATAGCATTTTTTTTCAAACAATCTTCCATGGCCTACTGGTGAAAGATAAAGACCCGAATCATTGAACCCAGAATTAAAACAGCTTACATCTGCTACATTCTCATCTCACGACAATCTTCCAAAGCAACCCTACACTTGCCACTGTTGGCCTTCTTTACATTTAAAACATTACTGACCACATATCAAAAGTTCTTTAGAAATATAACGTCAAAACCAGATTTACCACTTGTCCAAAAATCTCTCAACATCTTCCATTACCCAAATGCAAAATTCCAATTGTGAGCCAGTTTCTGTTAAGATCTGAAGAAGTCAACATTATGATGGGCAAAACGTCAGAAAGTCTTATTTATAAAGCATTGAAGCAAGAGGATCGCTTTTGTCCATTATCTTTTGCTTAGAAAAAATACCATGGTCTGACTTGTACATTCTTAGTTTTGCGCTAAGTAAATTCCTAGATTTATATGTTTGTTTCATTTCTAACCCCTTGAGTGCTATATATAGCTTTGTAACGTTCGTGCCCCTTTTATATTTTGATTAGTTGTTTAAATACCAAATAGGTAGATTTTCGATCATGTATTACTGTAATAATTTTGCATATATTGTCAAATAGAGGGGATCCCATTCGCACTGCCCAATATACTATACAAAGTTACCAACTTACCAAATACAAATATAACTTAATTAAATGGTGCATACGCTGGATTACTATTATACGTATTTTGTATACACTTTACTGCTTGTTTCTTTTTATTCTGTCGAAGGCTTGTTTAAAATCTATAAATATAATATGGCGGAATTTCTCTGAGTATGAAAATCTGATCCGCTACTGATCTATCCGTTCTAAAACTCCATTTTTGGAATCAATATATGAGGCAAGGATTTTGTTGGGTTTATTTAATAGTTCTTCTATAGTTGTCTCAGATCTGTCACTTTTCTTATAAATAGCAAATGGTGTTGCTTCTCTTCTCTGCTTCGAATTCACCTCCTGTCTCCATATTTCTTTCATCAGTTTGTACATATTTTAGTCATTTCCGCTGTTATTTTTTGTTGTTCTTAAGTTGACACAGCCTGTACATATTTTAGTCATTTCCGCTGTTATTTTTTGTTGTTCTTAAGTTGACACAGCCCTGGACCAGACGAGATCACCAATAAAATAAATATGGAGGGAAAAAAAACTACAGAATGAAATACTAACCTTATTTAAAAAGATCATAGCTGAACAAAAAATACCGAACGATTGGAAAATCTGCACGACAATATTCATCTTCAAAAAAGAACAGAAATCGAATCCGGAAAATTATCGAGGAATAACACTGCTTAATAGCATCCTCAAAGCATTCACAAAAATTATACTGGGAGAAGTCACCAAAGCCATAAGTATACGACAGAAACAACAAGCTTTTTGAAGGAACAGATCCACCATTGACGCAATATTTATTGTCAAACAAATATGCAAAAAACTTTCGAATAAACCTTTTATGTGTTTTGTCGATATGACCAAGGCTTTTGATAGAGTGCGTTTGAAGGATGTCCTAGAAATCACGAGAACGGAAGGTTTAACTTAATGCACGATATAAACACCCATTGCAGAACAAAAATCAGAGTTGGACATACGACAACTGAAGACATAAATATAAACACAGGAATTAGACAAGGCGATTCACTCAGCCCATATATATTCGATTTATTGATGGATAAAATAATAGAAAACCTTCCTAGCACAGGTGGATTTAAAATGGGAAACACATTCTTCCATGCCGTCTGCTACACAGGCGATGCTGTTCTTAGTGCAGTTTCTTAAGATAATCTTCAAAGACTACTACACTCTTTTAACACTAAAGCAAAAGAATTAAACATGCTCATCAACACCGAGAAGACTAAATGCTTAGTAACATCCAACATCCAAAGGATAGATAATAGAACAGGTAAATCACTTTAAATATCTGCAGAAATAACGAGTAACGGAAGCCTTCTCAATGAAGTAGGAGAGCAAACAATGAAAGCGGCTCGAATAGCGGGATGTCTGAAGAAATTGTATGGAAGAACAAAGACTTTAATATGGAGAGCAAAATCAAGATATATAAAACGGCTATAAGACCGATTATAACATACGCAGCAGAAACAAGAGTAGATGCAAACAGAACTCTACAAATGATGAGAACAGTTGAAATGAAAATATTAAGAACTATACGGGGTAAAACTTTGTATGACAGCATACGGAATGTGGACATCAGACAGCAGTGCGGAATACAAGACATAGGAAGGTGGGTGAGGCAAAGACGGAGATTTTGGAACAAACACGTAAAAAGAATGGAAGATGGCAGACTCGTAAAGAACGCAAAAATGAACAACCCAGTAGGGAAAAGATCTCAAGGAAGACCGCCAAAACGGTGGCGAGAATGCTGGACCTCGTTTTCCGGGGGCAATGAACAGGCAGTAGCCTACTAATATGGTATCCATGTTAGAAAGAAGAAGTTATCTTTTCATCCTCGTGGAACTCTACCTCTTCTAGTTCTGTAACACGGTTATCTAAGGATTACCTAAAAAGTTCTTTGTGCTCTGAGTTTAAAAATTCCTCAAAATATTCCACTCATCACACTAATATTTCGCTTTCATCCTCCAAAAATTTGCCTGTACCTATATAAATTTCATTTCTTGCTTAATAGTTTCTCTTTTGTTGCTTGATGCCTAATAGTTTTACGGATCATATTTGAAGCTACCACAGAAGATCACAATTATTCTCAACTTCTAATAAAATGTTTAATCTTGGTGAGTTGTTGTTGAGGTTTAGCTCGAAACTTTACAGGAAATCCCGCCTCTGGGGTGAAACCGATGTACCAAGTGCACCTCAGTCCCGAAAAGGATAAGCACAGGGACCAGAAAGTGGAAAAGAGCGAGATCAAGAAACACTCGATCGTGAAGATCGATCCCAAGACGCTGAAACCGATCAGCGAGAAAGCACCGGAAAATACCAGTCTGAGTAACGTCAGCGGCAGTTTATCGGCGAGCGCGACTCAGAATCAGGAGTTGAGGTAATGCGCAGGTTATACTTAGTTCTGGCGCCAAATTATGCATTTTTTGAAATGCAAATGTAAAAAAAGTTGGCGTCTCTTCAAGTTTTTGTTTTATAGTTTTCATTATTTCACGAAAAAAATAAGTAAAACTGAAAAATGGTACAGTGCTTTTATAGATAAACGGTTTTTGCTTAGCGAATGCAATGAAACTACCTATACCGCTCCCAGCGTGTAGAAGTAGTGCCAGGGTCGGACTATGTAAAAAAATAATAATTCTGATGTGCAAAATTTATAATTAATTTCATAGTATTACTTATGCCTGCTTCACTTATATATTATAATATAATTCTATGTTAGGTAGAAGACACTGATGTTCACTTTCCGTGAAAAATTAAGAATACATTTAAAAAAATATAAAATCGCCAATATATGGACGTAGCTCTATATATTTCTGATAATGTAAAATCATGTCATATATCTAAAGAAATAATAACTAAAGAAAATTTAAAAAGTCTCAAATTAACAAATACATATTTAAAACCGAGCAGGTACAGGGTGGGCAAATAAGCGAGGAAACGAAAAACACCATTTTTTTCATAAAGTTTTATGCAAATTATTTGTTCCATTTTTTTCAACAACAGAAAATCGTCGAGCACATGAAACACGCCTAACGCCTCTCTCTCACAAAAAAAAATAAACGTGCCAACTGGCTGATATGTCGCCTTACTTTTTGAACGCGCCTCGTATATAAGTAATAAATGTAATTTCATTCCTCGATAAATATAGTGTTTCTGTTGTGTTCGTAGATTATCGGGGTGATAAGTTTTCCTGACACAAAGAAAGAAATGAGCACCAGGATATAAAGCTGCAATACTTGTACTAAGCGGTAATGCAAGCGGAGATTTTAAATTAAAACCACTAGTAGTTTACCACTCGATAAACCCAAAAGCGATAAAAGGCATCTCAATCTATTTTACCTGTACAAATGATGGATAACTATGAAAACTGTTAACTGAAAACTATTTGTTAAAGGTTATTGCGAACTTAGAAAACTTGAACAGAGAGCACTAATATCAATTGATAATGCTCCAAGTCACCCAACGAATTTAAACGTGCAATTTTAAGGCTTATTACTTGCGGCGGACATTAAAGCAGATGTTTAAAAAAGCGGACAAAGAAGAGAAGCAATCGATAAAGAGAATTTTGGAAAAATTACAATATCATGAACATTAACTTTTCTTGGAATGAGATAACAGAATGATCTTTGAAAGGAGTATGGAAGAACATTTGACCAGATTTAAGTAAGAGCGAAGACAATGGACACTCTATTGACATGGATGAAATAGTGGAATTAGCGAAAAAAACTGGTTGGATGGGGTAAAGACGTGGAAGAAATAATTCAAGAAATAGCAGCCAGTCTTTCTAATGATGAGCTCTCATGGAATTAACTGAGTAAGAAAAAAACAAAAATATTGACAGTAGTGATTTCGAAGAAGAGCAAAAAGAACTTTCAATGACGTTTGTAAAAAGCAGTTTGACTAAAATTATGGATCGATTTCTTGATCCAAATTGTGACAGGAGTTGAAAAGCAAGGCGGAGGTCATAGATGCTTCATCCACTAATCAACTTCTCAGAGAACACGAAAGGAAAACGCAAATTACATTAGATGCCAAATACGCAGAGAATTTGGGCCGAGTGATCTGACTGACTTAAAATTGTATTTGTTTTTATACGTATATTCGCTTATATTGTTTTTATTTTATTAAAAAATAAATCTTTGGTTTTATTTTCTGTCCATCTTCCATAACCTCATTATTTACATGTTAAGATGGCCGATAAACGAGGCTCTTACGCCCTACTTTGGTGGAACGAATCCTACGCGTTAATCGAAGTCTTACTGTACACCATGTGCCAAATAAATCGATCCACTATACGATCTCGAAACCCATAGGAGATACGAAAAAAGTTTCGTACAAAAGTTTCTTGGACTTTCCTGTAGGTCTAAAATATTATTTTTTTGATACAGGGTGTCCCAAAAGTGTCCTTCTGACATCAACTTTGTTATTTTAAATGGAACACCCTATATAGTTCGATATTTTTGGAATCCTTGGTTAAAAATAGTTTAAGCAGAAATTTAGGTGGTTAAGGAAATGACGCACTATTTAATTAGTTTGACAGATGCGCCTCAGCTTATACAGAGTGTCCCAAATAGGTGGTGCCGTTTTGGCGAATTCAATTAACAAAATCTCAAGATGTTTAAAGGGAACACTATATTTTTATTCAGATATCAATTAGAGGACAAAAAATAAGGTAAATTTGTAATTTAATTTATAGTTAAATTTTACTTACTTTTTGAGATATTCGAGGTTAAAAAATTAGACAAGATATTCTTGCATTAAATAATAGTGATGCGGTTAGAAATGACAGCATTATGACGCGCTATGCAAAGGATGGACAATATAGTCAAAATATATTACAGTATCACCATGTTTATTTTTTTTAAGTTATTTGTTTATGTTTTTTTTTGTTTTATAGATTTTTTTATTTAAATTTGTTACCTTGTGTAGTTAGCCTGTAAACTTCAATTATTTATTTTTGTTATTAGGTACTTTCAATCAAACTAGGTAGTTAACCATTAAATGTTTCTTTAAATATGAATTCTGAGGTTGTATGAAATTTGTTAAAGTGTGTTAATTTTTTTCAAAATTTTCACGTATTAATGGACACCCTGTATTGTTAGCAATAGGCGGTATTCTTATATCTGGAGTATTATATCTTTAAAAGAAATGGTATCATGACTTTGCTGTTTAAAAAATTCGTAATATTGAGAGCAAGTGACCTAATGTGGGTAGCTTTAAATTTTTCAAGAATTTATACGGGTGTTATCTTAAACCTCCAATATCTCAAAAAGTAAGTAAAATTTAAATATAAGATAAATTACAAACTTACTTTATTTTTTGTCCTAGAATTGATATCTGAATCAAAATATAGGATGTTCCATTTAATTATCTTGCGATTTTGTTAATTGAATTTGCCAAAACGGCACCACCTATTTGGGACACCCTGAATACGCTGAGGCTCATCCGTTACACTGATTGAGTAGTGCATCATCTCCTTAGTCTGTGGTTAAATTTTCGTTGCAATACCTGGATAAGTAGCGTCACAATGCAATGGGGCAATCAAAATATGAAAAAAAAAAAAAACATATAATCTCAATTTCTGCCTAAACTATGCAAAATTTAAATAGGATTCCAAAAATATCGGGGAGACAGTTTTGGGATACCCTGTATCAACAAAATTATAATATTTTAAATCTCCAGGAGAGTTCAAGAAACTTTTGTACAAAACTGTTTTTCGTATTTTCTATGGGTTTCCAGATCGTATAGTGCTCAGTTGATATTTCTAGATGCACTTCCACGCCCGGCGACTTGAAGATCAACACCAGCTCGGTGTCCATCTTCAACCCCCTGAAGCTGCAGAGTTCGCCGAAAAGTGACCGGAAGTCGCCGAAAAGTCCGCATTCGCCGAAAATTAAACCCACGAACAGCACCGGTACGTGCGACCTCTCGCGGAGATCCGTTTTCCGTCATTGATTCTTGCGTTCTATATGTTTCCAGCTTCGAGCGGCATGACGACGACCGCCATGTTGTCGCCGACCGCCCCGAAACGCGATAAGACGAGCCTGACATTTACGCCGCCCAACCCGTTCGTCCCAAATTTGGCGTCGCCCACCCTCAGCCCGAATCAATTCGTTTATCCCGCGGGAGCCCCTCCCGGCTTCCCCGCCTACGATCCCCGGGTCATGGCCGCCTATCACAGGTAGTTCTGCACATTTTTTTTTTTCATTCCCTAACCCTAGAACCTTGGGGTGGTAGTTTTACTTATTTATTTATTTATTTTATTTCACTCACTTTAGAATACAAAAAAATAAAAACTCGAAACATACAAAAAATACTAATGCATAAACGAACCACTAGGAAAAAAACATTAAATAATGGTTTGGGGCACATAACATATAATTTATACATAAATATACAAAAGAAAGTTCAAATTCGACAGAAAACAACTAAAAGTAAATTGTTTTCTAAATAGAACCTGATTTGATACAAAAAAAACGCATAACATTTTATGGTGCGTGAGTGCACCCCTGGCAACCCCCCGGTTTCATTTTTGGTGATATTTTTACAAAGCATGAAGTGTGTAAATGCACATTACAAAACGTAAATTGTGTGGCTGTGGCAGATTCTACATCTCATTCGGGCTTGACGTGACCTTGATTATCATAACGCACTTCATCTGTGGCAGGTGCAAGATTTCTTTGAGTAATTGTTTTATCAGTTTTTAAAAGTCACAAAAAAATGTAAGATTTAAAGTCAAATCAATGTCTCCTCATCAAAAAACATAAAAAAAATTTCAAACGGAGTTTTTTCCAGAAAGCCTGTTTTTTAGTTCCTCACATGATCTAAATTCATCGGATATAGGAGTCTGAGTGTACTCCAGCTGACCTGTCTTCCATTTGACAGTAGAAGCCAGCTTGTCGTTTGCAGGAAGCATATGTCTTCTTTTGAATTCCAGGGTTTCATCATCAGATGAGTCCCATTCAGGTTCAGCAGTTGATGAATTACAGGACTGTTGAAGAACAGCTGTATCATTTGGTGCATGTAACTCGAAAGTTCCAAAACTCTTGTAGATTTATGTTATCGTTCATATCTTCTTCGTCAGTCAAGGTATGTTCTGTAAATATTTTTTCACGTTATTTTGAGCATAAATTTACAATGCTACAATATATAAAAATATGTAAATCCAAATAATACTTACGACTTTCATTGTTATTGTCCTCGTCCATCAATTGAGTCAAATACCTCGGAAATGCCATATTTTACGAACTGTAACGTTCACTGCACAAGGCACAAACTAATACTAAAGAACACGCTAATTTTTTTATGTTTACTCTACTGCGTTGACATGTCTAGACTTGCAATAACAAAGTTTGGTTTCACAGATAAAACCAGTGGTGCATTTACGCACCAGTAAATATTTTCAAAAAATAAAGCATTATAGTATTTCCAATGTATGTTTTTTGCGATGTAATCTACATCTACTTAACAAAAATGGCAATACAAATCCAAAATATTTTTTTTTACTATTTTGGATTTACTTGAAAATGTGATACAAATTTATGTACCGCTTTTGTTAACTTTTGAAGTCATATATAAGATCTTTCCATTACACATAAATTAGCGATTTCTACGGTTTTATGTCCTTTAGTAGTGATAATAATAAAATTTCTAAATGGATGTGCGAAAATATTTCCTGGATGTGACAAAAAAATCATAGAATAGGTGGTGCAAAATGGATTAAATTCTGTTTTTGTACTGTCATCTTTTCAGCTATTTCTTATGGGTGGATAGTATTCTTTAGGCGATATATTATACGAAGTAACTGTCTTATTTGGGCAAAAAATGGACCCTCATCTTTTTTCCCCTGTATTCTTCATATATTTAAAGTTGAGGTATTGTTCAGGCTGCGTCATATTATCTAGAGTAGTTACTGGGTGCCAATAATCCAAAGTTTACAATAGATGTAGAGGAGTTGTCTATTTCTTTCTCGTTTACATATTTTTGTTTGTTTATTTTCCGTTGATATACTTAGAAATAAAAAATATTAAAGTTTCATTATAAAGTTTTACAAAAAATTATTGAGCAGTTTACCGGGTGTTCTGGTCGACGGCCAAATAGGATTAAATGATGATCATAAGCCAAGGAATGTGTGCCATGGTGCCTCGTTTGATAAGCTCAAATATGAGTATTTCAGCAAGGATTATCCGTGGCTAACGGTCAGAGGTTGGCAGCGCATGGACGCTGCATGCACTGTGTCGTTCTTTTCGGGGAATCCCTAAATTTGTGTCGGGGATCCATGTTTGAACCTATTCTATTTGCCGAGTGCTGATCGACCGGCTCGTTACTTTACTGTTCAAGGGGAGAAATTAAGTGCTGTTGACGTTGCTGTGGTAGAATTTTGCTATGATTTTCAAACTCTTTTGACGGAGCACGACCTAAAACCTGAACAAGTGTATAATGGGATTTTTTTTGGAAAGCAATGCCAAAAAGGACACTTGCTGCAGGGTCAGAAACTAGTGCAGCAGGTTAGCTTTACACATATTTTATTTGTTTTTTATTTTTTTTTATGTTTCAAAGCAAGCAAAGGCCGTTTAACAGTTTTGTGCTTTGCCAATGCCTCAGGAACGCATAAGCTTAGGTTAGCTGTTATTGGAAAATCCAAAAATCCGAGGGCTTTTAAAAATATAAAAACACTGTCCGTTGATTATTATAATCAAAAGGCAGCGTGGATGGACAGTGGTTTTAAAAACAAATTATACCCCAAGTTCGAGCTTATCAAAAAGAAAATAATCTTCCACCAAAGGCTGTACTGTTACTGGACAATGCGCCATCGTATCATAATGTAGAGCAACTTAAATCAGAAGATGGAAACATATGCGTAGCATATTTTCTGCCGGATGTAACATCTATTGCCCACCCAAGGGATCAAGGGGTTATAGAGTACAATGAAAAGGCTTTATAAAGAAGATCTTATGCTTCAACTTTTGGAAGAACGTGACATTGTGGAATTTTGGAAACGTCTAAATTTGAAAGAGGCAATATATGCTGTAGCTCGTGCTTGGAATGGAGTAAAGACAACCAACATTAAAAAATCATTTTATAAAATAATGACTTTAATAGAAGATACAGAGGATGAAGACATTATTGGAGATAGTAATCAGTTAAATGAAGGTGAGCTATGGATCGAAAAAATAGCATCTACAGCCTTGCAAATAAATGGTTTGGAAGAAATAGACAATAAAGAAATACAGGACTGGATAGAATGTGATCACAAGGAAGCAGGGTATCAGATCATAAATGACGATAACATAATTAACAAGACTTCTGAAAAAAGTGATTAGAATAATTATTGCGAAATCAAGACAAGTAATCAAGAAGCAAGGAATGCAATAAACATACTTATTCAATATTTTGAAGAACAGCCTGGAATTGATGATATTCATGTTCTTCAGCTTAGAAAAATGAAAGAAATTATAAAGTGTAAAAGTTACGAAGCCCAAAAACAAACAAAAATCAGTGATTTTTTTAAGTGATTTTTGCAAACATAATTTATCATATACATTTTGTATACATTATATTTTATTTTTTGTTACATGTATGTTGTTCTCTTTGTTTGACACATGTATTTATGTAAATAAATTTTAAAAAATAATTTAAAAATAAAGGTCTTTGGATTATACGTGTTTTCGATTATCCGGCGAAGGCTCGGTCCCGGCTGGCCCGGATAATCGAGGTTCTACTGTACTTATTATTTATTACTTATTATTTGGCCTACTACCACTACAACATGTTTCTGTTAATTAGACTGTGTTGTTCATTTTTAAAATATTTTGAATATTACAGCGTTACCACATCTACTCGAACCATACACCGACCTCATTTATTCATTCTCCGGTTTCGCTTACCAGGATTTAACACGTTTCGCACAGTACTTTTGCATTTATAACGCTTCTTTCAGTCTATGGTACGGGCAACGGATGGCGGCGGTGGCGGCGGCCGGTTTTCCTTCGGCCCTTCCCGGTTTAGGTCTGGGGATCGGTAAGAACCCATTCGATGTGAACCTGACAGCCGGCACCACTTCGCCGCAGCAACACAGTCCAGGGGTATGAATAAATTTATTTATATTTATATTAAATGGAGTCGATATTTTTATTGGGATTCCCCGAATCGCTAAGTGTCGTAGTGTTTGAAAGCTTTTTGCTTATTTGTATATTTTTGGGGGTCCCTTTTCCAAAAAACGCAATATTTTTACACGTTATTTTTTTTATAGCGCTCTATAAAATAATGTTATTTTATTAATATACATACCTATGACGTGAATAGGTTTCTTCCATGTTAGGCATAATTTTTAAATGAATTGATTTTTATGAAATTAAATGTGATTTAGCAACACTGGATAATACAGAAGCGTCAATACAGCGTTGTGACCTGCTTATGTGAAGTTTTGGTGTTCGCGGCTTTTGTCTTCGTTGTTGGGTATTTCTAGTGTTCTAGAACGTGTAAATATGTAAAGAAGACATCGTGTGAACAATCCAAATAACTTTTGTTACATCTGTGGTAGTTATGTCGTAGTAAAGCAAAGGCAAACTATAACTTCTTTTGTGAAGAATGTATACCGCACTTATTTTGGTGTAAAAATTGTCCTGGGCTCCTCGTATTGTTTTCGTTTACGTTGAATCATTCAGAAACTGTCAAAAAGGTACGAAGAAATGTTTAAGCTTTGGTGTTCCTATGATATGGCGAGAGCCTAGGATTCGCAGTGCTGGTAGTCATATTTGTTCGTGTAACGATTCGTTCAAGGATTCAACAGAAAAAATAAGAAAAAAATTGTGTATCCCAATCTTGACTCTGCTATTCGACCATTTGCTCATGCTCATTGCTCAGATTTCACACCAGAGAGAGCGAAGTGTTCGACCAGAGCGAATTAAATGATTTAATTAGAGGTTTGCACCTACCAAAGGATGCATCTGAATTGTTATCGACCAGACTAACACCTGGTGTCACATCATTGACTCAAGTAATTGTGGTTTAAGAAGTGTTTTATTGCACAATGGTAATGAACTGGCCTTAGGACTTCTATTGAATAAAATAAACTTCAAAAAACATCGGTGGATGCTTTTAAAGTGCTGTGCATGCTCCTAGAACAACAAGGGGGTTGTACAAAGTGTGATAGTGGGGCACATTGGACTCAAACAGAATGACCCTCTAGAACAAGCCTTACACCACAATAGCAAAAATATATTCAGGGACGAAGTAATGTTCAAAATAGGTTGCAAACACACACCCGAATATCCGGACAACGCAGCTTTCTAGCAAAGAGACAAAGATTTTACTCAAAAAGTCTGAATAAAGGTTTTTTTTTCACTAGGATTCCACTTTTCCACTGAATAAAAAAATTAATTATTTTAGGAATATGGTTTTTTGTTCTTTTATTTTTTGAAGAAAAACGCAATCCAAATAAACGCATAGAATGTTTGAAATCACCAAAATGATATAAAATCAGTTTTTTAAATAAAAACATCTGTCAAACAGTTTAATTTTGTAGACCTGTGTAATCTACGAAAAAAAAAATTGCACGGTACCTCCGACGGTTTCAGGTCTCGCCGAAACATTCCACGCCGCCGAGGGCGTCTACCCCGACCAGGGGTAGCGGGGGGGCCCCCACCCGCACTTCCCCCACGACGCGAAAAACCAAAGATTCCGCTGCTAAAAGTCTCGAAACTGCCTTGGAGAAGCTCACGCAAAGCAAGGCCAAGGAGATGGGCAAGGCAGCGGCGGCGCTGTGCAAAGAACCAAGTACCAGTAGCGCGAGGCCAACAAAAAACCCACCCGAAGACGATGTACTAAAGTCGACGACGAAAGAACCGCCAGAGGGCGGCACCTTCGACACCGCTAAACCCACTGTACCGTCGTCGATGAATGATTCTCGCGTCGCAGTAGACGCCACGCCCCCCAAGGACGAGTTGTTAGCGACTGAGACGAGTCTGGCTCCTCCTCCGAGTAATAAGGACGACCGAGTCGCGAGCGGACGCGACAAAAGTGATGGTGGTGTTGGTGATTCCAAGGTCCTCGACAGAGGTGGTGAAAGTAGCGCGCACGAAGTGTCAAAGTCTACGGTTTCTGGCCACGGCAAGGAGACCGACGACGGCGGCGCGCGTAGTGATAAGGAAACGACTAAAGGTGACGCGGGCGCCACCCCCAACGGGTGCTCTAGTGACATTTTGGCGGGAAAGGACGCGAGCCAGGTGAAGCAATGAGATCTTTCGTTGTCTGCCGTTATTTGAAAGCCTCATCGCTTCGAGGGCCACCAAACCTCGTTTCGAATGTTGTTTTTGTTTTAATGATATTTTGAACGTATCATAAAGATTTTGTTTTTTTTTTTGGAGAAGGGGTATTTCGTGTTAAAATTTACATGTAACATCACATGTAAGGTTATAACGTAAAGTCGTCAACATTTTTTTATCAATGGGTTTTTGACAAGTTTTGATCCGGGGAATAGTTTGCACATCAAAAATAATAAACGTTCGCCTTTTTTTAATTATTAATTATTAAACTATTTTTGTTTAAATTAAAAACTAATCAAAACATGCGATTTAATGCGATTAATCCAGGGAATAATTGCTCATCAAAAATAATAAAAAATTTAGCTATTTTATAAAACACCGAAAAATTTTATTGGAAAAAGTTGATTCTTTTTCAGTTTTCTATAAGTGGGTCAATTTTTTCCATAACTTTAATAAACTACCATGATCATTCGCCTTGATCTGTCAAAAGTGACATTTTTATTAAAAAAAAATAAAAAAATATAGTAATTTTGGAAAATTTTGAAATTGCATCAACTTTGACGATTTTTATAAGTTCATTTGAAAATTTTCCTATATAATGTATTGTTTTTAAATGTTAATTTTGACAGTTGAAAACTTTTTTAAGTTCCATGTCAATTTTCTGAGATATTGGCCCTCAAGGTTTGGAAAACGAAGTTTTATGAATAAACTAGAAAACAACTACTCATTAAGCAACATGACATAAACTACATATGTTTTTGTGTACCAAAAAATTTCATCAATATTTAGTAGGCCACTGTTGCTGTCTATAATCATTTATTTTGTATACGAGGTGCAGCGAAAGAAGTATAATTTTCTACCAAAGAATATTAGTCTGCAGTTTGCTTCCCATCTAAGTGATGTTAGTAAAATGTGTTCGCTATTATCTGGTAACCACTTTTAACATTGAAGCACAACAGTGAGATTTTTTAACGCTGACAATTACGAGATTTTGTTCGGTTTACAAATTTACAAATTTTTGCCATTGAAAGTAGAAACTAACACATTCTGCTTGCATTATTTTGAATAGATGAAAACTCATATTTTTTTGGTATGTTTCGAACAAAAAATACATTTCTCTCTGGATAGCAACAGTCGTCGACCAAATTTTTTTAACACAAAATCATCTGTAGTTTTCATGTTGTCATTTTACTTTTTAGAGACCTCTTCATTAAACATTTTCGTTTTCATAGAAAAATAGAAACTTAGATAATATCGGGCATAAAAAAAACATTTAGTACTATAAGTTACGAAGATTTAATTAAATTTTGTTCCCAACTTTTTTTGATTCTGTGCCCTTGAAGATTTGTGTGAATATAAATATAAATATATAATATAAAGTAAATATGAAATAAAATATAATAAATATAAAATAAATTTCTCTTCATGGGAAGTTTATATTTTTTTTATCAGTCACGCAGCGCTTATGGTAGATTGGAAAGATTTTTAAATATGTCTTACTATGACTATGAAGATATTTAAAAATGGATTGAATTAAACTTGTCATTAAACCGTCCACTTCCATATCAATGTGAACCTATTTTACTTACTGACGTTTTCTTAAAACTCGGACAAGGATTTGTCAAAGTGGTAGCGCCATCTACTAGTAAATAATCAAAGTGTGTTAGCTATGGCAATAGAATTGGGTGTGACATTTTGAATTGAGTTTTGGTCCCTCGTTGCTACAAGCGCCTGAGTTGATGATTTCTATTCTGCCGATTCGCCGAAACGATCGTCTAGTTAAGATTGGTAATAACGGTTCGGGGTCTTCCTTTTTCGGCTGCCGTCTCGAGATCTGTGATATAGCGTACCCTTTTTTAGTACCCGTTCGCAAATATTCGAAATTTCTCCCAGAAAGTTTTTTACGAAAAAAGTTTTACCGAATTTCTGGACAATGGTTTCGGTTAGTCGACGGTCCATGTTGAGCTCAATCGATTTTTGTATATTTCTCTTTAAATCGTTTTGTTTTACCCATTCGTTGTACATAATAGGGCTATATTTTTTTAAGCGACTTGTAAACAAGATTGCAGTATTTTGCACGGCGGTTCTGGTGACATCGACGCATAGCGGATGACGAAACGTATCAAATCTTACCAAGCGTTCTGGAAATCGTAGAAATCAATTTTACAGTCCTCTAAATGGTCGTAAATATCAATTTTACAGTCCTCTAAGTGGTCCTAACTTCACCACTGGGTGGAAGCACAATCCTTAAAGTAGCCAAGATTGTTCTGTGCTGGTGTGCCAGAAAAAAAACCATTTTTTTTGGATCTGACACACAAACTAGTTGCAAGTTACCTGGAGAAACTACTTGCCACGTATGCTCTTAATATTAATGGAAATATTATTCTCATTATAGTTTTGAATTATCGATTTAATCTCAGAAATGTATATAAATGTATATAGAAATATAAATAATCATATCTTATCATCAATAGATCATTAAGCCAATTTTATTGATAATTTTTAAAGGAAATTGAACTCTTCCACATAATTTTCAATAAATTGAACCATTTCAATGATATTCAAGGTCAAAAAAATGAAGAATTAAAAAAAAACTATGAATTTATATATATTATAATATATATAAAATTATATTATATTATATAAAATAAACATAAGAAATAAATGAATAACAGAATTACCATTTTTAAAAACCAAATGAGTTCTATTGTAAATAAATAATAAAAAGTATAAGAGACCATCTTTGTAGAGTGTTCAATTTCCTATAAAAATTATCAATAAAATTGACTGTATGGTCTATTCGTAATAAGATATGATTATTTATATATATATATATATATATATATATATATATATATATATATATATATATATATATATATATATATATATATATATATATATATATATATATATATATATATATATATATATATATATATATATATATATATATATATATATATATATAAACCAAAAATGGTATAATGTGGATAATCTTCCAATTAACATTAAGAGCTCATACATGGTAATTACTTTCTAAAGGTAACTAGCAACTAGTTTTTGTGCGTCAGATCAAAAAAAAACTTTTTTTTTGTCCCACCTTAAACAATACTTTTTGTCACAAAACATGTAGTTTGTGCTGAAATAGAGGAAAATGTAAAATTAATGTATCAAATTTGCCAATCTAAATTTTAGTAACCATATTTTCCGCACCCAAAATTCACCAAATTTAGTTCAAGCGGTTTATATTTTTGAGTATAAGGATTCATACGCCGCATAGCATATAGTACACAGAATGACATGGGCATAGGGACATTTTGGTTACTAGATTTGATTCTCAAGATACTACCTTGTGATCAAGTACGTTCTAAATTTTACAAACCACATTTTCAAAATGTTCCAATTCTATCCCACTACAGTCACCCAAAACTAACCAAATTTAGTTCAAGGGGTTTATACTTTTAAGTTTAAGGATAGGAACATTTTGGTTACTTGAGAGATTATGGTTTCACCTAGATTTGAATCGAGATACTACCTTGTGGTGAAATATAAGAAAATCGTCTCTTTTTAACGCATATTGCACAAATTTCCAATGTTTGTAAGGCCGAACGCTTTAAAGGCAATATATTTAAGCCCGTTAAAACTTTTTTGCAATTTAATAAGAGGGTGAAAATTTTTGTTTTATGTTTCACCGCATTCCACAACAATAAAAATCTAGGCGGTTCTTCTTCCTTCAATTTTAGAGTTTTTGGTTAATTCTACCTAACGTAGCCTTCACTGTGCGTCGCGTATTCTAGAACCCTTCGCGTTAAACGTCTTTAGTGGTCAAATATGGCTTCTAGTAGAGGCCATTTCAGACGTTTTTCTTTTCCTGAATAGTTGTGTAATCTGTACTGTGAAACTGGTTCACGCGTTTTAAAAAGTGCCTAACCTTGATATGAATTGCTTTTTTTCAGTATCTAATAGCAGCACGATTATACGGGGTGCGCTTTAAAGGGAAATTCCCATTTCTAAAGTAGATGGACGCAAAATAATGTTGGAGAGTTATAGATGCATTTTTGAAAAATCGCTGTTGCTTTGTTCCTATGGAAAATTTTGTTTTTATTAAAACATTTGCAAAGCACGTTTTTAAAGCTTAACACTTAACCATTTATTATCATTTTTTCATTAAAGACGTTCAATTAATTGTGGTCAGTTTTAGAAAATTAAAAAAATAACTGTATGTATCGGATGTCTCAATGATAACATAATTAACGTAATGAGAGTCAAGGTATAAAAAAACCATATACTCAAAAAATATTTAGGATTAAACGGGGAGCCTCATAAAAGTATGATTTTTTTTAAGTACCCTCCGAATGTTATCGTAAGTAAACCTTTTTTTCTTAAGTAATAAAGGGTCTAAATGTTATGGTTATTGAATTATTCGAATCTAACAGTAAAATTTGAGCTTTAAAAAATTTTACAGGGTGTTTACTATAATAGTCCAAACTTTGATTTCAAAACATAGAATATAGCAAAATATAGATAGGGTATTTCCATTTTCAAAAAATCTACTATTTATACCTTTTTGCCACACGCCCTGTATTAATCATGTTTTTAGAGTGTAGTACGCTCAAAAATGTTTTCATAGAAACTCAAAATTTCCCCTCGCAAAATGGTTATAACTAATTTTCGAAAAACATGGTATGACATTGTGTTTTTTATGAAAATCAACATCAGTTTTTGTCTGTCTGCTTTGGAAAAAGGAGTTTCTTCTAACATGGTCCATCCTGTACACTTAAATGCAATCTGTTAGCTTGCTACCTGAAAAGTGCCATTCACGCACGACTTGATTGTTAGAAGAAAGGCCAATTGACTCCTATAAAAGATTCTAGTCCTTGGAGAAAGACACATCACGCACGGTTATTGCGGGCATTTCAAATTGTTAAAATTCAACCCAGTGCCTTTTAAAAATTTCGATTCTTGATTGCACTCGATATTTTAGAGTATTTAAAATGGCAGTGGCGGAGGATAAGTGAGTTTGGCAAAGGATTGAGTTTTTTAAGGAAACAAATGCAGACAGCTTAAAAACTATTTAAATTTAATTTGGAAAAGTTAAATGATTCGCATATTCGGTTGGTAAAGTCTGTTGCTATATATTAAGGTAAATTATCAATTCGGATGAGTCTTGTTCATTTCTGTCGGTTATTTGAGTATAAAAAAAAGATACTTAATTCTTTTCCCTTCGCCAAGGTATATAATAAATGCAAAATTTTTCGCAAATGGGCTGTGACCGTAACACATTTGGAATTTTCGAAAACCTTTTTAGATTGAAATTAATTTTATATTTTAAGGGTTTTATCGCAAAATATCGTGTATTTTTTAAATCGAATGGGAATGAACAAAATTTGTCAACAAGATTCCAATTAAATTAAAACAGAAAAAAAAACCTTTTTGGACAATAAAAGTTGCACCTTACCTTGGTAAATGTTACATAAATTCTATTTTTTTAATTTAATTGGAACTTCGCGATATCTTACTTCTGCTGGTGGATTTTTATATAAATATTTTTCTTATAATCGGTAGCCTTAAGAGATTTTAAATAGTTTGACTTGTAAATTGAGCATGTTATTATATTGTACAATTGTAAATATGATAAAGCACAGATGATTTAATAAAATATTTATAGTTTGCAATTTTTGCGTGTTTCATGACTTTCATAAGTCTGGAATCATTTGCAGCTTGATTTTCTTAACGCTCCGTTCGTTGGGTCGGGTAGCGAGGTGCTTGCCGAAAAATACAAATCTCAGGTTATCCAAGATCACTTCAAACACCGACATCTCCTTTAAAATTGCTAAAACGATAAATAAATAAACATTACCTACGTTTATCAAATTATATGAACTTACTCTTTAATTTAGATTGAGGCGTCACTATTTGGAATGACAGTTTAGTTTCTAATACAACAGTACCGGACATACCAATGAGGCTAGGTACTTTTGACCGTATAACTTTTATTTCAGCCCCTATTAATTCAGACTTTGCAACTACGAGACTAAAACTGTTCCAGTCCGGGTCCACGGGCGATGGTGCCTTTTTAATAAAATCCAAATTTTGCCTCATATAATCTTTCCACATATTTCGAATGATTCCTAATGATTTGTAGCTCCAACCTTCCCTGGGGAGTTTGAGTAAGTTGGCTTCTTTGCGCTGCTGTCTCGTTAAAAAGGTTTTTTTCGGCCGACGAGCGCTTTTCTTCCTTAAAGAGTGCTGTTCAAGTATAAATTGCCACTGCAGATCGTTTCGTAAATATTTTATGTCTGTTGAGGGAAGGTGTTGCTGCAACATATTTTGTATATATTTGCGGGACGCTTCCGTTGATAAGTTGGATCCTTTCAATATTTCTGAAGGCAACGGAGCATTTAGTAAATCTAAAAGAGTATTTATTATTACTTGCATGGATATAAACAAAAAAAAATACCTTTTGCCGTAGTTCCCATTTTTCAAATTCATAAAAGATCTGCTATTACTTTAGGTTAAATTCAAAGATAAAATTTTGGTTAGTTCTTTAGATTATGCCACCGATGTTTCTTGATGGTCACTTAAACACAAATCAAAACTTATCAAATATGATAGCCGCATTCAGTATTTATTTAAGTAAAGTTATAGAAGATTAAAAGGAACACTCAGTACTAGGAACAAATTAACATAGCGTCCTTGAAAAATACTCTCTAACCATAGATATTTACGTCCTGTCTTCTTAAATTTCGACCATGTATTAGAAGTTAGTAGGTTTCTGAACGGCTAACTTCAGGTGTGTTTTCCTTTGTCCGCTGTGAGTCACAATTACTCACGACCACTTGTTGCTGTTCACGCAGAAGTTTGAAATTTTAGTAAACACTTTTGCCTGTTTGGTTTAAATATTCGGGCGTGGTAAAGTTTTACAAAGGTTTGGACGTTTTTCTGATTTTCGTGAACCTTTATTGACTTTTTAAAACGATGAGTAGTGAAATCGAAGTACCCGAAACACCGAATTGGTTAAAAGATTTGGAGGAGAAGAGAGAAAAAAGGCTGAAAGCTCGCCTTGGTCATGAGGCGGGAGCCGGGGCGCCTTGCCTTAAATGCGAGGATAAATGTCCAGGTAAAATATAAGATCATGTTGGTGGCTTAATAGATTATCTTTTATCTACTAATGCTTTAGGATTAGATCTTCACTTTTGGAGGAAAGCCTGTAAAATTTGTAGATGCCCAAAAGAGGAGCACGACGTTCACGACGACGATATATATGGCTGGGCGCAATTTCAATTGCTTGGCAGCAAACCCAATAAAATTAGAACTAAAATAGGTAATGTTAGGAAAAACTTTTTAAATATTAATTTTTTATTGTTGATAATGATGATTGCTTTTAAACATAAACTGAATGATTAATCAACATGAATACATATATTTTATAAGTTACATCAATACCCTATTTAATTTCTGCAGTTTTGCCTGGATGTAATGCTTAAGAGGTTTAGGGTAAAATATATTCTTCCGGAAGAATATAGACTAGAAACCTTTGGGTTTTAACCACAGGTTTGATAATAATGTGATATGGTTTCTCGTACTTGATCGTGTTTGTTCACAAATGTACAAACATTGATAAGGCAAAGTTTTAGTATGACATTCTAATATATATTTAGTTAGACATATTTTGTAGTGGGAATTCATATATACTCAAATTCTGGTTTATTTGCTCTGGTGAAAAAGAAGGTGATGTAATGAGTCATCATGGTCCAACGCTCATTCAACTAGTCTTCAGCAGTCAGCCCTAGCTTAATGAACTGTCTCCATGAATTAGGAAAACAGTATCATCGGTAATTTTAAATCCGCTCCCGAGCTAAAAATCATTTGTAATATGTTTTAATGGAGTTTTAATTACAGTTACAGGAACAAAACACAGTTTCCGCGCATTCCTAGCATTCTTTTATTTATAAAATAATTATTTACATGTCCTTGTCGTTTTTAAACATTTCATTATTCTATGTTAGTATTGGTGTTGTTCCAGTTTTATTTTGGTTTGCGGTTGGAGCTTCGGAAATAACTGGAAATTGAGGTTATTGTTTAATTGATTTTATAATTGTAGTACTGCCCGGCAAAAAAGACGAAGTGGAATTAGAATGGGCCCCGAAAGGTCAGAAGGACACCATCGATAAGTATCTTAAAACTCTGGACCCCGGGAAAATACCCATCAAAGGCTCCCATGCAGCTCAGGAAAGGAGACAAATGTTGCAGAAACAAATCCCCATACACGACATCGATCCTTCATTGTGCCACGAGCTGAATGAAGATGAAGTGCACAAAATGAAAGAATATATCGCGCATGTTAAAAACAGTTCAGTCGGAGTGGGACAAATAGTTAATTTGTCCAATGTTATTAAAGGTAAATCTTACTTTCTTAATTGGTATTTGACACCGCTTAGTTCTCTATTGCAGCCAGTATTCATAATATTAGCCCGCAAGAGGCTCACATTATAGCCAGTCATTATGCCAAAGACATTCCATATTCGGAGATTGTGAAACTTGAAGCTGGGTTGGCGAAAAAATTGGAAAGAATGGCTATACACGACCCCAAGAATAAAAAAGGGAAGCTTTTGAGTATGGTACCCAGCGAGCAGGGGCACAAAAGTGAGTGTGTTGTCAATCCTTCAGTCGCTAATAAGATAAAGGATATAAATTATGGCGGATATGCGGATACCAATTCAAAACCGTCTGTTAACGCGCAATATGGAATTGGATTAAACCAAAGCAATGGCGCTTTTGACAATCCACATCCTAGAATCGATGAAACGCTGCTACAAGGAACGAACTTTGATCCGGCTAAGACGCCCAGTCAGTTTCCTGGATATAAAACGCGGGATTACAAACCTTACCCTTCTTCGAACCATGGTGATACAGCAGGTATGAGTGGTAAAGACATTAACAATGCTGGAGTAGGAGATAATGTGCCCTTTACAAGTTCTACTCGCATATCCGAGCCTATTCGACCTGCAGACGTTTATGTGGAACGATCTAGTGATGGGGAAGACCCTCACGGTTTGGACAACAAACCAAGCTCTAATTCTAGTCAGTCTTACCTTACAACGAAATTTGAAGGTGCCAAACCCTTAAATCATACTCCAGGTTCTCTGCCTCATTATGGAGCTCATAACTATGACATTCGTAGTGACAGTCAAAACCCGACAGTTCCTAGAAATGTTAAAGACTTGATATACAGCACTTTCGATCCAAGTGACGATGCCTCGAAGACGTCTCATGGTGAAAGTAGTTCACTTAATCCGATCGCTAGACAACCAAGTGGCTTTCCAAACGGTTTATACCAGTCGGAACAGGCCAATACTAACAAGACCAAAAAACCTTTGTCCCATCATCACCCAAGCGGTCTGAATATACCTGAAGATTATCTCGAACCGAGTAATATTAAAATTGGATTGATTCGGGATGCGCCATATTCTGATCCCAAGATTCGAGAAGCAGTTACGGGTCAAAATGACTTTGACAAAGACTACAACGAGGACTACAGCCCGGACAGCATCCGGGAGATCCTGAACAACATCAAACTCCCGGAATGTCACTACTGCAAGAAACCTTTCGAGGAAAACGAATTCGCCGTCACGATCGAGCGAGCCAAGTTCTTGTTCCACGCGGGTTGCTTCAAATGTGCAGGCTGCAACCAAAACCTGGCCGATAACATATATTTCTATCACAAGGAAACCAATAACGTATATTGCGGCAGAGACTACGCGAAAATTCGAGGCTATCCCAGGTGCGACGCGTGTGACGAACTGATATTCACCAAGGAGTACTGTTTGGCGGAAAATTCCACTTTCCATTTGAAGCATTTTTGTTGCTTCCAATGCGACACCCCTCTAGCCGGACAGGAGTATACTCTCGAGGAGGAGAAACCCTATTGCTTGCCCTGTTTTGAGTCCTCAAAAGCCTCAAAGTGCAACACGTGTTTAAGCGTGATTAAACCGGATGAAATGGGATGCAACCTGAACGAGGTGCACTTTCACGCCACAGAAAAATGCGTCGCCTGCATTGTATGTGGCGCACCATTAATGGGTAAAAAGCTACTGTTGCGGAACAACAAGCTTTACTGCTCCCATGACTGTTTTCGTTCAATATCAAAATAGTATATTATGCAACAAGTTTGATAAATGGTATTCGGGTCACTTGCTTTGCTTTGGTTCCAGAACTTGAGTTGTTTTTCTGCTCCCTACTCTAAAAACCCAATCATACACGTGGACAATTTCCGGGATTTTACTCACAGGTTTGGGACCAATGATCTGATGTTTTCGGATGTATTACTAATGGTCATAGAAAAAACTGTAGTATGTCACATCTTAATAAACTTCTTGAGTCACTTGGTCCTCAAATGTACATCCCTTTTATCAAACTTACACGATCTATTAATATTAGAATTAATGAACCTATGCAATATCCTTTAAATAAAGTATTTGAAACTTCATGCCTTTTTATTAAAAAACGAAATCCCTTTAAATAAGTAAAAAATGTTTCTAAAACAAAACAAACTTTATAAGAGTTACCTCGCTAACGAAGCTAAAGTTTTATCGGTAAATTGGGCCAAAAGGGCGTGTTGCAACCTTCCACGTGACGTTCGTAGTTCAATTGTATTGCCGTTTCCATGCCCATAATCTTCTGCGCCCGGTCCCCGTATATTTTCCGCATTTCTTCGGCCCTCTCCTTCCCTTCCGGGATTTTTGGCATAACTTTATCCTTTTTCATTTCTTTAGATGGCCCGGCTTCCGATTCGTCCTTTTTAATGTCAACCCACTCACTTTGCCCTGCGTAATCTTCGATCTGTTTGGCATAAACGTTCCTCAAATGTTGATGCAGCATCCTGTTTTCGATTTCTAAACTGATGGCGCGAGATTTCCAATAGGCGATTTGATCTTGCTTCTGCCACTCGCTGACCTCTAGCGGTAGATGGTTTAGCCCGTGGTTCGGCGACCAATCCATATCGGTCACGTCAAATAAGTTTATTGCGGAGCACAAATCTTCCGTAGTTTTGTTTGTGCGTCGTTTTTTCAGCACTCTGTAATACTTGGACTTGCTTCTCTTTCTTCTCTGCCTTCTCTTGGCGCTTTTCGTGCTATTTTTCGTTAATTTAACCGTGTTTTCGGCTTCAAGTCTTGCTTGCCTTTTTATTCTCTTGGAAGGTTTCCTGAGGACATCCGCCATTTTCGGAAGTCAGTTCACAGACAATCATAGAAAAATAGTTACAGACAATAAACGATGTAACAATTTAGTATTATAGTGATTAGAAAAAAAAATCAACCGAATAACTAAAACCTTCATATATTACCTAAACGGTTTTTCATTTGACACTTCTTAGCAATTGGTGCTAAAATATCACAGAACAACAATTTGTGTAATCAAAAGTTTTCCTGACGTCAGGAGCTACCTGTCAATATGGTAATAAGTATTTATTCGAAAAAGAACAGTTAACAGCGAAATGAAAGCCGCGCCCAAGATGTAACGTTACAGGAGCTGGATAGAGGGGATAAAGCAAATTTTTTATTAATTGTTTTCTTTATTTTGAAAAATTGTACGCAGCTAGGCTAAGCTGGGGTTATTTGTTGGCTGTCCTACTATTATTATTTAGATCGTAGAAACTTTTGTATCACACTGTACATTTCACCTTTCAACTGGCTGGAATTTCAGCCTAGCCTCATCCTTGTTTTCGACTTTGCATTCTTAGCGTGGATGATGATGTCGCAAGAGCAGTCTTTGTTGAATGACTATTGACAAGTGTCGGTAATAGGCAATTAATTATCCTTAGCAATGTTGCTCGTTTTTGTTAACTAACATCGATCAGAGACTACTATGGGGTTCTTAATATTCGGAACATCTGGGCAGTTGGTATGGCGACAGAAAAGCGACGCCATTGCCTAGAAGTTTCGATTACGATTCGCGAAAAAGGACTGACAAATTTTTTGAAGTCTAGATACTCGGGGCATAGGGCAGATGTAGCGCAATGTTTGTTTCAAAATATGATACGTTTAGGCTATAAAATCAAATGAATCTATTTCTTTATTTTTTAACCACACTGGACCAGTCAACCAAGGACACCTGGCCATTATCGTCACAAAAAATTATACTCTGGTTCGAAATGGACCTAATGGAGCAGCACTGCCGCTCGTTCGACAATACCGGTCTATGCGACTTCAAACCTGTTTGAATATAGCTACTAGAGATAAAGAGGCCCTGCGTATGCCAATAATACATGTACTTATATAGTAATTATGAAAAAAAAATTGAGGTCCATTCCACATGAGCATGCGCGAGATTTAAAATCTCGTTTTAACAAATGACCTTGCGGCGTTCAACAACCAACATGGCTGCTGACAGATGGTCAATAACTTTGGATGCAGAAGTTTTAGGGCGGTCGTATATAATAAAGTAAATATATCTAGATCTCGTTAAATCTTTTGAGAACACGAGCTGAATATGTGGAAATCGCTGTTTAGAAAATGGCACAAAGTGTCATTGCTGCCTCCGGCGCATCAATTTTTACCGGGTAGGGCCACTATATCTTCAAATAGCTATATGTGAATAACGAACATATCAGTGCCCTATAACGCTTATACATTCAAAACATACCTACACTACAGAGTTCCGTACCATCACTTGGACTGAACAGCGGACTGCAGCAGTTGGATGAAAAGAAACCCTAGAATTGCTTTTTAAAATGTTTGTTTTATTTTAAATAATGTCAACAAATTACGAATGATGGCGTAAGGTGTATATCGCATTTAAAAACATCTAAAAGGTACAAATTACACTATTCATTCTAAAAATATATCAACAGGTCGTCGTATTTCTAAAATATACTGAAAATATTGTGCCGTTTAAGGGATATATTTATAGTAAAGATTTGAGCAAAAAGTTGCAAAAGTCCCCTATACCTATAAAATTTATATAAAAAAAGGGTTGAAATTAATATAGCGAAGGTATAACATTTTTTTTAGCAGGTTGTGTACCATGAAAAACAGCAGAAAAATAAGATTAGAGCTTCAACTCACTTGAACTACGCCGAGAGCAAGAAGTCTGAAAGAAGAAGGAACACGAACCCAATGCCAATCGAATGCAATTTGTTTCATAAATGCACTACTATCTGGAAGTGGCAAAATATAGGGTCGACATCTATGTATACATCTTATTACCTACGTGTCTAAATATTTTGCGCTTTAGGTGCATAATACTTTTGAGCTGGATTCTTAATAGGTTCCATTCAAATTGACGAGGTACTTAACAATTTTTACTTACAGGTGCGTACTGTATCGTCGAAGTGCTATTGGCTAATAATTATCAAATCTGTTTCATTAAAATCTGATGATGTGCTTTGGAAAACATGTCCATGCATACATGCCCTTTAAAATAAGACAATCAAAATATGAATTGACATGCTTGTGAAGGACTTTTTCCACTTCCCTATACCAAGCAGCTGCATCCGACAGGTCTGTCTATAATTACAAAAACTAATTAATAATAATAATTGTATCACAAATCAGTTAGAATATGTGTGCGAGACACTGGGGTTATAATCGTTTTTTAAGTCAGCACGCTAAGAAGGCATTAAAAGCTAAAGAAACATTTATGAGGGATAGCGAAATTAGCATTTAACAATATTCATGCACATTACATCAAGTTTAGTCTTCAAATACTGCCAACAATAAGCATAACCAACATTAAACCAGTACCTCATGTTATGTCAGCTTTTAGTTTACATCACAAAATGAAAAATTTTATATTACAAATAATAATATGCAAAACTGGTAGGCACAATCTTTTCATATGTCCATTAATCTGACTGCAAATGAACAAAAAACCAAGTTAAAAAAAAAGGAAAAAGACACGAAACAAATTTGAGACAAATATCCTTCTTTTCAGTATCGAAAGGTCTGCTGTTTTTACCCTCACAGGCTACAATAGTTGTTGATTCTCATGAAGAAGAATTGATCAGTTTTGGAGCAAATGCAATAATTCTGATTCGAAATACACAATTTTTTGTTTGCAAAATAAAACGCTTATGGACATTTATTTTCCTATTTTTGGGTATTATATCCCAAGATAAACAGTGACTTCACTCAAAAATGCATATTTACTTTAAAAATAAAAAAAACTTGTACTTTGCTACTACATTACCATCCTCTTTTTTTTTTTGAATTGGGTCACTGCTATTGCCAGATTGGAATATAGAATACACAATTATGAATGATTAAAACTTCGAAAACTCTAAATATGCGAAATCCTGGTTCTATAACAGGTTTAACAAAAGAAGTTTCTTCAATGCCAACAGCTACTTAAAGGTTTTGTAAAAACTACTAAGCTTTTTGGCGAGAACTTAAATCTCCTGGTTACAAACAGGTCTTATTTTCTTAGTCCTTAAGAAGCACAAAAAGCGGTAGTAACGAAAGATACTTATTGGTCATCCAGATCTATTGTGGGTGATTTCGGTCTGACTAATTTTGAAGATTCTGCCACATTAATCCTCTCCTTTAACATATTAAACTTGTTCTGCATCATTTTGAGCTGCTGACCAAGTGTTAAACTCAGCTGCTTCTGAAGGTCTTGAACCTACGGTAAAACTTAGCACGAAGATTACTACTCGCCATTTTTGTTACCTCCATTATGTCTTTTCTCAGATTTTGGTAATTACTCTTCACTTCACTGACCGATTTTAAAATATTGTGCACTTCGATTTTCTCGCCGTCTTCTGAGAATATTCCACTTTCAATATTTCCAACCTGTTCCGCTAGATTATCGAGCCGTTCATCCGTTTTCTTCACCTGAAAACAATTCCTTTAAGTTTATAATGTGCAATCATAAAATCTTAAAATTAGTTTATATACAGGTTGCATTTAAATAAATATGCAGTATAGTAACCAACCTTATTTTCTATATCTTCAACTACTTGTTCCATTGTTTTACGACTTTATTTATGTAATAAAAAACAAAACATTTTAAGTTTACAAACAAATTATTACAAATATTGTCAAATCATCAGCTTATAATTTCGATCTGTCAAAATTATCCAAAACAGTCGTCTTTGGTTACTATGCAACCATAAAAACTAGCGCGCGTATGGGTGATTGCATGTCATACACACCGTCAAGTACAGGAAATTTTCGTTTTTAGTAAAATCCAAGGCTATTTTTCAAATTATTATTATTTTTTTGGTGTCTTTCAGATATTCTTCAAAACCGAAATTTAAAATTAGCAACATATTAAATTTGTCTTGGTTAATACTGAGTTAAAATTCAATTTTAACATTAGGGGGTGTAGCTCAGATGGTAGAGCGCTCGCTTAGCATGCGAGAGGTACCGGGATCGATACCCGGCACCTCCAATTTGATTTTTTTCTTGTTTATTTTTTTTATATTATTATTACCTATAATATAAAACCGTCGAGTCAATTTATCATTAAAACGGTCTAATTCTCAGTGAAAAATGCAATTTATTTGCTTGATAAAAAAGTCTGTGTAATTTTTCTTTTATGATTTTTGATAATTATTGCAACGCTCACAACTAGCGAACATCTCAACGACATAAAAATAATAACAATAATAGTAATAACAATAGTAATATTAATAATAATAATAATAAATCTTAATAATAATATTATTGCAGATTATTAAATTAAACATAATCATAATATTTTCCTCATTTGACCCAAAGTAGATTCTAGCAAATGAGTAACATAATTTTTAAAAACATTTTAAATCACCTTATTTCAATTTTTAAGATATTGAATATATGCCAAAAGTTGCAAAAATGTTTAATAAATATTTCTTGTTACTTTCGAAAATCGATGAAATCGAATTTTTCAAAAGTATCTGCGCTCGTATAAAAATTTTATATCTCAGTAACGGTAAGTATAGAAATGATCACCGTCGAAAAAAAATTTTTTTTGTCTGTCCGTTCTCCGTTCTCCTCTTTTGGTTTTTCCTGAATAACTTTCGAACCGTTGTAGCTACAAAATTGAAATTTGCCTCCTACTTTGCCCATTTTGTATCGTTGTATCTTTACTTTTAACAAAGTTACCAATGATAAACAATTTATATCAGCCGGTATACAGAAGGTGTAGAAATCCAAATTTTCCGGAGCGATAATTGTAATCGCACTTTACAACGAATTGCCGCAAAACTTTGCCCACTTAAAAACTTTCACATTTTTGCGCAAACATTCCCATTTTCGATAGTTTAAAACCTAAAAAGAAAACAATTTAATTATAATTGGCTAGGTTCGCGAAATAAGGACGTCCGATAACGGCCGGTGGCCCGATATTTCAACCCGATATTTCAACGAGTTACGAAAATTATTTTAATATGAACATTTACTCATTAACATAAGGTTCGTCCTCACATAGTGTAGAACAAAGAAATTCTTCTTCTTTTCTTTTTTTTTCACGTATCCCGTTTGGCTACAAAGAAATTGATTACCCAATTTGCAGAAAGGGAACTTTTAACTGTGATCGTTAAATGACATTCAGCTGCTCAGTGTTGCCAAACTGCTATATTGACTCGATTTAAGATTGCGGTTTGGCCAAATCATACTGGTAAGGGACATAGAAAAGAAAAGAAGAAGAAGAATGCGGTTATATGTAACTTCCCGTTTCATGAAAAACTCTTTAAAAAAAAATCACAATATCAAAATTTGCGGTAATAAAATTAACAACTTTTAGTTTTCAAAGATTAATTTGGCCCCAGCAACAATTATTTTATGTCAAAACGATATGTTCACTTTAGGTGCGTCAGTTCCGTAATATGGAAGGTATAGCAGACTGACTATCAGTAGAAATTCTACTGTAACAGATGAATTAAATAGGAATTCCATTGACATATGACATTCATCAAGGTCGTGGTAAAAGGGGGCTCAACCCCCAATGGTATGAGTGATATACCCATTCTCCAACATTACATGATAGAGAGGATCTGCCTTCATTCCAAAAAAGAATCCATTCTGATGGTCTGCGTCCTCCTGACATTTCCAGGTCCACTTGTTCTTTGGGTCTGGCCTCTTTTTGAAAGACAAATTGTTGCAGGCTAGTTATATTCGATCAAATTGTTTTAAATAACACCTTGCAATTGCAGAGTGTTATTCATCATTATTTCGTAATAATATATATATAACAAATTTTAGTTAATTGGCGTATCGGTCCCTCATCAGGACCGATACCCCAATTAACTAAAATTTGTTGTTCAACTAGCCGGTCACGACTACCGTTTTGTGTATATATATATATATATATATATATATATATATATATATATATATATATATATATATATATATATATATATATATTTTTTTTTTATATATCACCGAATACGATACAATTATACACCGTTCCTTGTGAGTTTTTCTCCGTTGGAATATTTTGTTCCATTTCTGTAGATTAAACAAAATTTACATTAATTTTACTTTTAAATTTATAAAAAAATGTCAAAAGAACTTTAATAGGTGCCATAAAAAAAATTAACAAATGAATTAAATACCTCAGCTTTATAAAAATGAGGTGTTTTTGAAAAAAAAAAGACTTATGACGATCTTTTCGTTTCACAGGTCACTTCTTTTCAACACCTGGAAATGTCCCCTTTGCCATAAAAAGCGGACTTAGGTATACGGTATTTAAAAATATTTTAATATTAAAAATATAGGAAAGTTGTTTTCGTGCTATTGTTTTTTTACAGATTCTGAGATAAGGTGCCATCCTGTAATAAACGATTGAAACTATTGCGCTTAGTGCAGTTTTCTTTATAGTTGTGTGCAGATTGCTCAGGATAACGGTTCTATTTTGTTCTGGTAATCAGTCTCTCTAATATACACAATTTGTAACCGGTGATGTTTGTAGGGGATTATTGGTTAACCTGGCGACCCCCTTTGGTATTCTGTATCGATTAAATACGTATAAAACACCAAGGGGAGTTACAGTTGATTGAGCACCTTTAGAATTACGGGTTTAACATAGCCATCGATTAAATTTAAACCCCGAGTCTTCCATAAGGAAGTGTTAATCGTTTGTCATTAAAAAGTTAAAACCTGTAAGTTCTCTGTCACAATTGGTAGCTGGAAGTTTTTTGAAAGCCCTTTTCAATGAGTCCAAGTTTATTAAAATTTGTATTAGATATTGTGGTACTTGGTTTTCCGTCTAGATAGTAAATTTGAAGTCTGTATCTGGCATTTTCATAGATCAATCAACCAGCTATCGTAAATACAAACAGCCTGATACTTTCCGCCACTGCAAATCTAATTTCAACGGCATTTGTTGCTTTGGTGATTGTATTCTGAACGCCTGAATTAACCATTTTTGAGCATTGGCTCTGTGGTTAGTAGACACTTTATGCCCAGAGTCTTTGCGTAATAGCGGAATCAGTAATGGATTTATACGACTTTTGATCTGAACAGCTCATACAGTCGTAACGAAGTATAAAATTGAATTGAATCTGGACGAACATTCACGTCCGGTTAATAATTTCAGCTCCAATCACAAGACGCGCTTAAAATGTGTTCTCTTCCTTACCGCAAATTGAAAGGAAACCGGTCCGCGTTCTCTCAGCTCGAATAAAAGGATTCACGTTATTGTTAGAGTTTTGTCACGATTTTGAAACAGTTCGATTTGCCAACAAAGAATACGGCGAATGAAATTACAGCAAATTTAATTTGCGTCGATGAAGATCTCTCAGCGAAATATCGATTAGAATTTTAAAAAGTCAGTTTTTAGTTGACACACTTTAACCCTACTTTTCATGTAGTGTTTGTACAGGGTGAGACATATAAACAAATGTTTTAAAGATTGTTAGGATCCACAATTAAAGAGTTTTTTATAAAGTTTATAGAAAACCTACCCACACAGAACGATATCTCAATAAATTATCTAATCACCATCCTAGACAGAAAATGGGGGTAATAAAAACCTTAACGACAAGTGCAATTCGCATTAACGAACCCAGGTACCTGCGTGAAGAAATAGCACCCTTAACCGATTCTTTGAAAAACAATGGATATACAACCGCCAAAATCCAAAAGGGCATGAAAACAAGACCTAAGAAAACAGATACAACACAGGAACCTAAAGGCGGAGTATCATTTCCATATATTCAGAACGTCACTGACAGAATCGGAAAACATTTAGAACGACACAATGTTCGAGTCTTCTTTAGGCCAACCACCACAATCCTGCTCCTGTGGTTTTGTATATATAGGCACCACAAAGAGGAGTATCGGAACAAGGCTTACAGAACATAAAAGAAATTGCCGACTGGGACATACGGAGAAGTCAGCAGTGTCAAGCGGAAACTATCTTCTAGTTATTCGTCCTTAGAAAAATTAGGGAGAGCCTAGACCAAAATGCCCTAATGCCCTTATTTCATTCCCACATATCGTATGGCACAATATTATGGGGAAACTCTGTCAATGCAGAAAAGGGCTATAAGAATTCTTGCTGGGGCTAAGTACAATGGATACTATAATATATATATATATATATATATATATATATATATATATATATATATATATATATATATATATATATATATATATATATATATATATATATATATATATATATATATATATATATATATATATATATATATATATATATATGATGACACTATACTCCGGGATATCATCCGTTCGCTCGTTGAACTCCGACTGGAATCCTGCAAATCCTGCATCCGACTGGAATCCTGCAGAAGTTTCGCCAAAATCTCACTTGGCATCTTCAATGCTCGCGCTCCGAAAACACTTCGAACACTGTTTTCGGAGCGCGAGCATTGAAGATGCCAAGTGAGATTTTGGCGAAACGTCTGCAGGATTCCAGTCGGATGCAGGATTTGCAGGATTCCAGTCAGATGCAGGATTCCAGTCGGAGTTCAACGAGCGAACGGATGATATCCCGGAGTATAGTGTCATCACATTTTTCCATCCGTGAATCAATACGTGAGAATATATATATATATATATATATATATATATATATATATATATATATATATATATATATATATATATATATATA